AAAAAAAAAAAAAAAAAAAAAAAAAAGGCTGGGCTTGATGGCTCACACCTGTAATCCTAGCACTTTGGGAGCTTGAGGCAGGTGGTCACTTGAGGTCAGGAGTTCGAGACCAACCTAACCAACATGGTGAAACCCCATCTCTACTAAATACAAAAAAAATTAGCTAGGCATGGTGATGCATGCCTGTAATCTCAGCTACTCAGGAGGCTGAGGCAGAAGAATCCCTTGAACCTGGGAGGCAGAGGTTGCAGTGAGCTGAGATCGTGCCATTGTACTCCAGCACAGGCGACAGTGAGAAACTCCATCTCAAAAAATAATAATAATAAAATAAGGGAGATTTTATTTTTTTTTCCAATGCTGATATTGTTTACTTCTTCTTGTGTTATCGCCCCAAGTTAAACTCTCTAGTATGATGTTGATAATATCTGGCTTTCTCCCTAATCCCAGAGGAAGAACATTCAGCATTTCACTTTTTTAGGATTCATTTTTGCTGAAGGTTTTTTGCAGTGGGGAGGTGAAGGGAGGTTAAGGAAGTTTCTTTCTATTCCTGTTTTTTTTTTTTTTTTTTAACCTTTATTTTAATCCTTCTACATTTATCAATGCCTGTATGTGCTTCAGGATGCCAGTCTTCAGACATCCTTCAGATTCTGTGCTTCACTGTGTGTTTTTCTTATCAGTAGTCCTACTCTTGGAAAATGTTGCATACCTGTTTATTTTGAAAATTGCTCTGTTTTCCAAATACTTTCTCTCATACCTACACACATTTCCTGCTATTTCTTTTGGAGATTTCCATATATATTTCTCTCTCCTCTTGGCATTATTATTATTATTATTTTTTAGAGAGAAAGAAAGAAAAAGAATTTAAAAAAAAGAAAAAGAAAAAAAAAGAATAAAGGAAAGGAAGAAAGAGGAAGAGGAAGAGGGAGAGAGAACAGGGGTGTTGCTTTATTGCCCGGGCTAAAATGCAGTCTAAAAATGGATATGCCTGTAATTATGTTTAATAATAGAGACAGGAAGAAAATAATTAACAAGCAGCCAACCAATATTTCATTTAAACCTGAAAATACGTGTGATGTAGTACTGATAAGAGTGTATGTTTTGTGTATTTAAAGTGGAGAGTTCTATGAATGTTAATTAAGTCTACTTGTTCCGGATCTGAGTTCAAGTCCTGAATATTGATGTTAACTCTATTCCTGTTTTAATACAGATTTTTATTTTTAAAATCACAATTCTTTCAGTGTTTGTTTCATATATTTTGTATCTTTGTTGTTAGATGTGTATACATTTAGGGTGTTTTTTGTTTTTTGTTTGTTTTTTGAGACAGAGTCTCGCTCTGTCACCGAGGCTGGAGTGCAATAGCGTAATCTCAGCTCACTGCAACCTCCACTTCCCAGGCTCAGGCAATTCTGCCTCAATTTCCCAAGTAGCTGGGATTACAGGCGCTTGCCACCATGCCCAGCTAATTTTTGTATTTTTAGTAGAGACGGGGTTTGACCATGTTGGCAAGGCTGGTCTTGAACTCCTGACCTCAGGTGATCCGCCTGCCTCAGCCTCCCAAAGTGCTGGGATTACAGGCATAGGCACTGTGCCCTGCCAGGTCTTTTTTTTTTTTTTTAGGATAATTGACCCTTATATTGTTATGTAATCTTCCTCTTTGTTCTAGGGTCGTACTTTGTTCTGTGGTCTACCTTGTCTGATATTAATTAATCCAGTGGATCTTTCTTTTGATTAGCATTTGTGTGGTATAACTTTTTCATCACTTTTTCTTTTTACCTACCTCTCTCTTTATATTTGAAATGAATTTCTTTTTTTTTTTTTTTGAGACAGAATCTCACTCTGTCGCCCAAGCTGGAGTGCAGTGGTGCAGTCTCAGCTCACTACAACCTGCCTCCCGGGTTCAAGCAATTCTCATGCCTCAGCCTCCAAAGTGGCTGGGATTACAGGCATGTGCCACCATGTCCAGCTGGTGGCATTTGTATTTTTAGTAAAGACGGGGTTTCACCATGTTGGCCAGGCTGATCCAACTCCCGGCCTCAAGTGATCACTTGCCTCAGCTTCCCAAAGTGCTGGGATTACAGGTGTGCGCCACCACACCTGGCCTAAAGACAAAAGCTCTTGAAAGCACTCAGAGAGAGCGGTGCGCAGCCTGCAGGGGCATGACTTGAGCAGTGGTGGGCGCTCAGCAGCAACTAGCATCAAATTTTTCATCACAAGGAAGTGGCATAATCTTTTTCAAGTACTGAAAGCAAAAAACTGTCAAACCATCATTGTACATTCAGTAAAAACATTCTTCAGGAATGAGAATGAATAAAGACATTCTCAGATAAAGAAAATGTTTCCGACCAACAGACTGGATATAAAAGAAGTGATAAAAGAGGTACCATTTTTTTTTTTTTTTTTTTTTGAGGAGGAGTTTTGTTCTTGTTGCCCAGGCTGGAGTGCAATGGCACAATCTCGGCTCATCGCAACCTCCATCGCCCAGGTTCAAGCATTTATCCTGCCTCAGCCTCCTGTATAGCTGGGATTACAGATAAGCACCACCACACCCGGCTAATTTTTTTTTTTGTATTTTTAGTAGAGACAGGGTTTCTCCATGTTAGTCAGGCTGGTCTTGCACTCCCAACCTCAGGTCATCTGCCTGCCTTGGCCTTCCAAAGTGCTGGAATTACAGGCGTGAGCCACCGTGCCCGGCCGATAAAGGAAGTACTTTAGACACAATAGAAGAAAGGAAACTAGAAACGTCAGGAGTGCAGGAAAATGGGAAGGGTGAATATGATGGACTACTCTTTCACGCTTGATTTTTAAAATTATGTTGACAGACCGGGCGCCATGGCTCACGCCTGTAATCCCAGCACTTTGGAAGACCAAGGCAGGTGGATCACCTGAGATCAGGAGTTTAAGACCAGCCTGGCCAACGTGGCGAAACCCTGTCTCTACTAAAAATACAAAAATTAGCAGGGCGTGGTGGCACATGCCGGTAATCTCAGCACTTTGGGAAGCTGAGGCAGGTGGATCACTTGAGGTCAGGAGTTCGAGACCAGCCTGGCCAACACGGTGAAAGCCCATCTCTACTAGAAATACAAAAATTAACCAGGCGTGGTGGTGCGCATCCCAGCTACTCGGGAGGCTGAGGCAGGAGAATTGCTTGAACCCAGGAGGCAGAGGTTGCAGTGAGCTGAGGTCATGCCACTGCACTCCAACCTGGGCAACAAGAGCAAAATTCCATCTCAAAAAAAAAACAGTCTTTGTCTTTAGTTTTTAGAAATTTCATTATGTTGTATCTGGGCATAGATTTCTTTGGTTTATCCTTCTCGACGTTAATCTGAGGCTTTATGTCTTTCACCAAATTTCAGAAATTTTCATCCATTATTCAACTATTTTTTTTTAGCTTCACACTCTTTCTTTCTGGGACTCTGAGGACACAAACGTTTGGTCTTTTGTTATTGTCTTGCTGGTCCCTGAGGCTGTGTTTTATTGTTTTATTTATTTATTTTTTTCAATTTGTTTTGGCTCTTGTTCAATTAGCTAATTTCTTTTCCTCTGTTCTTCAAGTTTATCGGTTCTTTCTATTGTCATTTCCATTTTGCTGTTGAGCCCATAAAGTGAGATTTTTGTTTCTGTTTCTAAAATTTCCATTTTCGTTTTCTTGTTGTTGTTGTTGTTGTTGTTGTTTTTGAGACAGGCCCTTGCTCCGTTGTGCAGGCTGGAGTACGGTGGTGTGGCCATAGCGCACTGCAGCCTTGACCCCTGGGCTCAAGGGATCCTCCCACCTTAGCTTGCCAAGTAGCTGGATCTCTAAACTACAGGTGTGCACCACCATGCCCAGCTAATTTCTTTTTATATTTGTAGAGATGAAATATCACTATGTTATCCAGGCTGGTCTTGAACTTCTGGCCTCAAGTGATCCTCCTGCCTCAGCCTCCCAAAATGTTGGGATTACAGGCATGCACCATCACACTGGCCTTAGTTTTCTTATATGTTACTTTACTGAAACTTTTATTTTGCCATATGATTTTAGAGTAGATTTAGAGTATGTCAAATTGCTTGCTAGAATTTTTTGTTTGTGTATTTGTTTGTTTTTTTAGAGACAGGGTCTTGTTCTGTCACCCAGGCTGTAGCACAGTGGCCTGATCATGGCTCATGGCAGCCTGGACCTCCTGGGCTCAAGTGATCCTCCTGAAGAGCTGGGAGTATAGGTACCATCCATACCTGGCTAATTTTTCTTATTTTTTTGTAGAGACGGGTTCTCACTATGTTACCCAGGCTGATCTTAAACTCTTGGCTTCAAGCAATCCTTCCACCTTCGCTGTCCCCAGTAACTTGCTGGAGTATTTTTATGATGGCTACTTTAAAATCTTCATCCCATAATTCCATTATCTGTGTTATCTTAGTGTTGTCTATTTTATTCACATTGAGATTTTTTTGGTCATCAGTATGATGAGTATATTTTTAAAAAAAATTTTTTTTTAATTAGAGATGGGCTGTCACTGTATTGCCAAGGCTATTCTCACACTCCTTGGCTCTAGCAATCCTCCTGCCTTGCCTCCCAAAGTGCTGGAATTACAGGCAGCCTCTAGTAATTTTTTAATGTATCATGAACATTTTGAGTGTCACATTATGAAATTCTGGTTCTTATTAAACCTATTTTAACTCTGTCTTTTATTTTATCAGGTAGTCAACCTTTCTGTGTTCACACTGTATCCTGGCCCACTCTGGTGGGCTGAGGTTTGAATGTCTGTTACTGTCCAGAGCCTTGATGATGCTATTTTGCTCTGCCCACACGTGAGTCACCAAGTGGCCAGTCAAATCCTGGGCAGTGTCCCTGCACTGGGCCCACTTGTCAGAGGTTTTGCTATGCTGGTTCTGTTGATTCTGGCTGTTTTTATACAGCAAGTCCCCGGGGCCTTCATGCGGGCCTCCTTCCTCCTGTGACACTCAGCACATGCTCTCCTGGAAGCCGTACTGGACTTGTCTACAGCAGGCTGTGGGGCCGTGGGCTGGCAGGAGGGCAGGTGTGGTCTCAAGGGCTCCACCTGCATGTCCCCCTCTTCCTGCCCCTTTGGTCCCAAGAGCAGCTTCTCTTAGGCTTTTTATTTTATTTTATTTTATTTTTTTTGGTCTGAGCTCTGGGTTGTGGCTGCCTAGCACCAGCTCAGCACGTGCAGGAAGGAGATGAAGGACTCCCTGCCAGCCACCCCTGGGATCCGAGGCCCCTAGACGCTCAGCCTTCTTTACTCACCATTCAGAATTTTCCCCTAGTGGGGCCTTTTGTGTTCTGGCTGGACCTTTAGCTGAAATGAGTGAGGGAAATGAGTGGACTGCGGGTTTCATTTTGTGAAACCAACCTTGCAGTTCCAGGGTGAATTTAACATGTTATGATAGATTCTTCTTTTTATATATTGACAGATTTTGTTTGCTGATATTTCTTTTGTTTTTTGTTAGAATACCTGAGACGTCGTCTCGCTCTTTGACCAGGATATTCTTGAACTCCTGAGCTCAAGCCATCTTCTTGCCTTGGTCTCCTGTGTAGCTGGGATTACATGTGTGGGCCACCATGCTCAGCTTGGTCTGCCAGTGTTTTATAGAGAATTATTTATGTTCGTGAACAAGACTGGCCAGTAATTTTCATTTCTCATAATGTTGATGTGAGGTTTTGGAATCAAAGTTACTCTGGCCTCATAAATATGTTGGAAAGCATTTTCTATTTTTCTGTTTTCTAAAAAAGTTTGTATCAGACTTACATTAATTTTCCTTAAATAATTGGTAGAATTCAACTTTGAAACCAGCTGGGCCTGGATCTTTTCTTGTGGGAAGGTTTAAAATTGTGAATTCAGTTTTTTTCATAGTTATAGAACATCCGGATTTTCTTTTTTGTACATTTTTGATGTTATGTTTTACTAAGAAATTGTCCATTTCATCTAAATTTTCAAACTTTTGACATAAAGTTGCTTATAATATCCTCCTATGAGTTTTTAAATGTCTGTGGGATCTAAAGTGATGATTCCTTTTTGCCATTCATTATATTGGTCATTTGCTTCTATTTTTTCCTTGCTTAATTTATTTTAGCCTTCTCAAAGAATCAACTGTTGGTTTTGTTGATTCTCTACAATACATTTATTTTCTGTTTCCTCAATATCTGATATGAACTTTATTCTTTCTTCCTCCTACTTTATTTGGCTTTTCTTTTTTGAAAGAGTCTGTTACCCAGTGTGGAGTGCAGTGGCGCCATCTCAGCTCACTGCAAGCTCTGCCTCCCGATTTCAAACGATTCTCGTGCCTCAGCCTCCCGAGTAGCTGGGACCACAGGTACACACCACCACGCCTGGCTGATTTGTGTATCTTTTTAGCAGAGACAGGGTTTAGCCATAATGGCAAGGTTGATCTTGAACTCCTGACCTCAGGCAATCTGCCCATCTCAGCCTCCCAAAGTGCTGAGATTACAAGCCTGAGCCACCATGCCCTCCCCTGTTTGGCTTTAATTTGGTCATTTGTTTTAAATTTTTCTGTGTGCGTGTGTGTGTGTGTGTGTGAGAAAGAGAGAGAGAAAGAGAGAGACAGAGTCTCACTCTGTCATCCAGGCTGGAGTGCAGTGGCGCGGTCATAGCTCACTGTAACCTTGAATTCCTGGGATCGAGGGATCCTCCTGCCTCAGCCTCCCAATGTGATGGGATTACAGGCATGGGCTACTGCACCTGGCCCTCTGATTTCTTGAGATGAATGTTTTGCTCATTGGTTTTCAGCCTTTCTTCTTTTCTGAAATATTTCTCTAAAGCTGTAATTATTCTCAGAAGGACAACTTTAGATGCATTCCTTAAGTTTGGAAAGTGCTATTGTTGTCATCCTTCCATTCAAAATAACTTTTGATGTCCATTGTGATTTTTTTCTTTGGCCCTGTGTTATTTGGCATCTTCTTTTTTGATTTCCAAACAAGTGGCTTTTTATTTGGACAGACTACAGCAATTGGTCTCTATCAGACACGACCTGGTAAAGTCAGACTTCTTCCTACAAGGATTCTTGCTTTCTTTACATAAGCATTATGCTTTCTGTACAGCATCTCTGATATTCATGTGGACCCAGGTCTGTTGACTCCAGTGAAGAACAGCTTCATGTTGGGCTCAGCCACTCGTACTGGGAAAGGAAGAGCTGATAGAGACGTGTGTCTCCCCAGAAAGGCCTTCCCTGGTTTTCAGATCTGAGCCTGACCAAAGTCACTCTTCTCTGCAGGAGTGTCTGTCCAGGCTGGTCAAGTGGACTCTGGACTGGCGCTCAGGAAGCTCGGGGACAGAGTGCAGCTCCTAAACCTGCTGGTGACACGACTCAGACAGAAGGTAAGGCACTCGAGTGTGTGGGGTCTCCCTCCTAGAGAGCTGCTGGTGGAGGCGGGCACGTGGGCTCTGAGCTGCTGCCTGGTGGGAGTCCACTGACGGGCACAGAGGTGCCTGTTTCCTTCTGAGGAAGGGGCTGTAGGGAGGTCCTAGGAACTGGTTCGTCTTAGGCGTGCTCATGGAGGGGAAACACGGTCCAGGCAGCGGAGGCAGTGCTGGTGGGCAGAAGGCATGGCCTGGCTATGCCTCAGGGCTGCCCGTTAGAGGGGCCCTGGTCAGCCAGGCATGTGTGCTTCGCGTCAGTGACAGCCGCACTGCATCTGAGGCGCTAGAGCCTCACAAGCGCTGTTCTTCTCAGCCTCCTGGGCCCTTGCCTTTCGGGGGTGGGGTCGTATGCCTGCTGGGACCAATATCTGGGTGCATCCAGCGGTGAGCCCACCCTGTTTCCCATGGGGCTGGGCTCATGATCCCGGTTTGATTGCTACAGATTCCTGACATCTATTTGGTTTTGACTCTTTAAAAGTTGTGGTAAAATGTATTAATGTATGACAGTTTCCCTTCTTGAAGTGTACCGTTGGGTGGCATTAAGTGTTTTCAAAACGTTGTCTACACATTGTATTACCAGAGCCTTTCTTTTTTTTTTTTTAAGACGGGGTTTCACCATGTTGGTCAGGCTGGTCTTGAACTCCCGACCTCAGGTGATCCGCCCACCTTGGCCTTCAAAGTGCTTGGATTACAGGCGTGAGCCACCACGCCCGGCCCTTACCAGCGCCTTTCTGCCCACCCCACATAGAAACCCTGTAGCATAACCACACAGTAGGATTGCCCCTTCCCTGCCTCCCAGCCTCTAAACATTCTATTACCAGAGCCTTTCTACCCACCCAAATAGAAACCCTGTACCATAACCACACAGCAGGATCACCCCTTCCCTGCTTCCCAGCCTCTAAACATTCTATTACCAGAGCCTTTCTACCCACCCAAATAGAAACCCTGTACCATAACCACACAGCAGGATCACCCCTTCCCTGCTTCCCAGCCTCTAGGAGCCACCATTCTTCTCTCATCCCAATACATTTGTCTACTGTAGGGACCTCGTAGTAACAAAATCTTACAACCGTTGTCCTTTGGAACTGGCTTCTTTGATTGAGTGGAACGTTTTCAGGGTGCAGGTGTGTCGGCTCTGTGCATGTCAGAACCTCCCTGCTCCACGGCTGACTGACACTCCTCTGTATGGCTGGGCCAAGTTTTGTTTCTCATTCATGACTGGTGGACACTTGAGTTGTTTCCATTATTTGGCTTATGCACAGTGCTGCTGTGAGCATTCCGTGCAAGTTCCTGTGGGGACTACGTGCTCAGTTCTCCTGGGGGTGCACCTAGGAGTGGAACCGCCCTGTCAGACAGTGACTGTGTTTAACCCTTTGAGGCAGCACTGCACTGTTTTCCCTGGCAGCCACACCATTTTGCCTTGTCACTAGCGCTGTGTGAGGGTTCCGGTTACCCATCCCCACCAACACCAGCTGTTTTCTGGCTGTGATGCTGGTCATCCTGGTGGGAGAAAAGTGGGACCTCTCTGTGGTTTTGATTTGCATTTTCCTGATGACTCATGATGTCAAGCATAATCTCACCTGCTTCTTCGTCAGTCATTTGTCTTCTTTGGAGAAACGTCCATTGGGATCCCTTGCCCAGTTATTTGTCTTTTTTTTTTTTTGATACGGAGTTTCACTCTTGTTGACCAAGCTGGAGTACAACAGTGCAATCTTGGCTTATCGCAACCTCCACCTCCCAGGTTCAAGTGGTTCTCCTGCCTCAGCCTCTGAAGTAGCTGGGACTACAGCCATGCGCCACCACACCTGGCTAATGTTTTTTTTTTTGTATTTTTAGTAGAGACAGGGTTTCTCCATGTTTGTCAGGCTGGTCTTGAACTCCCAACCTCAGGTGATCCGCCCACCTTGGCCTCCCAAAGTGCTGGGATTACAGCCTTGAGCCACCGGGCCTGGCAGGGTTATCTGTCTTTGTATTGTTGCGTTGCAAGAATTATTTTTATATTCCAGATGTAAGCCCATTGTCAGATACATGATTTGCTACATTTTACTCTCATTCTTTGACTTGTCTTTTCTCTCTCTCTCTCTCTCTCTCTCTCTCTCTTTTTTTTTGAGATAGAATCTCACTCTGTTGCCCAGGCTGGAGCACAGTGGTACAATTTCAGATCCCTCCAACCTCTGCCTCCTGTGTTCAAGCAATTCTCATGCCTCAGCCTCCTGAGTAGTTTGGATTACAGGTGCAAGCCACCACGCTTCGCTAATTTTTGTATTTTTAGTAGAGAAGGGGTTTCACCATGTTGGCCAAGCTGGTCTCAAACTCCTGACCTCGGGCGATTGTCCTGCCCCCACCTCCCAAAGTGCTGGGATTATAGGGGTGAGCCACTGCGCCTGGCCTGTCTTTTCACGTTCTTGATGGTGTCCTTTGAAGGTCACGAAATGTTTCCAGTTTTGATCCAGTCCAGTTGATTATGTCTCCTGTTGCTTGTGCTTCTGAATTGTGCTGTCCTTATCCTGTTGCCTTTGTTCCTTGTGAGGTGACATAGCGAGGGGTCCTTTGCAAGCCTCTTGCATCCATAAATATGTAAATCCCTTTCCCAGCAGCACTGCTTCTTCCCTGTGCAGAACATCTCTCTAGGAACAGAAAGCACTCCAGTCTTCCCGTCTGCTGAGGGAGTGAGCAGTGCTCCAGAAACTCGATGCCTTTTTTTTTTAATCTTCCTAACGTGTGACTGATTGATTGATTGAAAATGACAAATATAGGCCAAGCGCAGCAGCTCACACCTGTAATCCCAGCACTTTGGGAGGCCAAGGCAGACGGACCACTTGAGGTCAGGAGTTCAAGACCAACCTGACCAACATGGAGAAATCCCATCTCTACTAAAAATACAAAATTAGCTGGGCGTGGTGGTGCATGTTTGTAGTCCCAGCTACTCGGGAGGCTGAGGCAGGAGACTCGCTTGAATCACTGTGCAGGAGGTGGAGGCGGCAATGAGCTGAGACCGTGCCACTGCACTTCAACTCCAGCCTGGCAACAGCGAGACTCCGTCTCAAAACAAAGAAAGAAAGAAGATGACAACTGTAAGTTGTATATGTCCATGGCACATGATGTGACGTTTTGAAACACGCCCACACTGTGGAATGGCCAAATGAGGCTGATCGCTACGTGCATTTCTCCTCACGTCTGTCATTTTCCAGCGATGCCTGGCATCTCACCTTGACTGAAACGTGGCCTTGTTGTTGCAGTGCAGAGACACGTGGCCACTCTCCATTTCTGTCCGTGGGGCTGAAGCTCCACGTGCCTATGAGGGCCTCCAGATCTCTCATGCTTTGCAGCTGCTGATTCCCCATTTCCCCCACACAAATGCTACAGACAAGAAATAAACATTTAAATACAGCTTTCAGGCTGCTCACAGTGGCGCACACCTGTAATCGCAACACTTTGGGAGGCTGAAGCAGGAAGATCACTTGAGCCCAGGAGTTAGAGACTAGCCTGGGCAACATCGGGAGACCCTCTTTCTACAAAAAATAAATGAAGGCTGGGCACAGTGGCTCATGCCTGTAATCTCCTCACTGTGGGAAGGTGAGGTAGGAGGACTGAGCTGAGCAGTTTGAAACCAGCCTGGGCAACACAGCAAGACCCCATCTGTACTAAAAACCAAAATAGTTAGCCAAGCATGGTGGTGCATCTGTAGTCCCAGCTACTCGGGAGGCTAAGGATTACTTGAGCCCAGGTGGTCAAGGCTGCAGTGAGCCATGATCACACCACTGCACCCCCGCCTGGGCGACAGAGCAAGGCCCTGTCTCTAAAAAGAAAAATAGGCTGGATGCAGTAGTGCACACCTGTGATCCCAACACTGGGAGGCCAAAGCAGAAGGATCGCTTGAGCCCAGGAGTTTGAGACCAGCTTAGGCAACAAAGTAAGATGCTGTCTGAATAAAATAAGTAAATAGGGCCAGGCGTAGTGGCTCATGCCTGTAATCCAAGCACTTTGGAGGCCAAGGAGGGTGGATTAGCTGAAGTCGGGAGTTCAAGACCAGCCTGACCAACATGGTGAAACCCTGTCTTAAAAAACAATAGTAAATAAATAAAAATAAATACAAGATTTTAATTTTGCCTTGGTTAATCATAGATGATTTGATTATCTATGATAATAGATACATTCACCTTGAAATATTTTTGTTTGGTTGGGTTTTTACTTAGCAGTGTCTATAAATGAAATGATAACCTTTATTTGTGTGTAGGTGACAAATTCAAAAATAAAATATTCATAAGGAATTCACCGTAGGAGTCCCTGGAATAGGGAAAGTAATATTTTATGTTCCTGGGAATGAGGCAGGAAGGCTCTGGTACGGGGAGGCGTGCGTCTTTCTCACCTGCTCTGCTCTTCTTCCTTCTCGCCAGGACTGGCGCAGTCAGTGAAAGGCAGTGAGAGTCAGAGGCCAGCCCGGGGCCCCAGGGTGGGTCTCATGGCCAGCCTGCAGCCTCCCTCTCCCTGCCCCCATTCACCCAGCCTCTTGTCGGCCTCCACCTGCCCTCTGACCTCCTGGCCTGCCTCCCTCTGGCCTCCCCATCTCTGTCGCCTTGATTAGCAGAAGAGAACAATCTACACTTCCTGCTGGTTACTTGCAATTCTGGAGGCCTTTGTTTCTCCCTGGGAGGAGGGCTCAGGAAGGGGTTTTGAGGCGCCCCGCCTCTGTCCATGCATGGATCCTCCCCACCAGCCTGGGACTCCAGAGCAGGCAGGGCACAGGGGAGCCGCTGGGGCCAGCTGGGCACGGTGGGAGGAGCAGCAGCCTCGGTGTGGGGCGGAGGGCTGCGGGCATTTGTGTCCAGCTGGGTAGGAGGCCCTGACCCCTGACCCCTGACCCCGGCTCCGCTGTGCTTTGCTTGCACCTAAGTGCTTCCTGTTGGTTCCCGAGGACCTGCTGCAGCCCAGGCCATGGCCTCAGTCCTAACACTGCCTGTGAAATGGCTCCTAGGTGCTGCGGGGACCCCTAGAGCCGGCTGCTCTGCAGCTCGAGCTTCCCCGTGAGGTGGACCAGGTACACCTGGAGGTTTTGGAGCTGCGGAAGCAGGTGGCTGAGCTGGGGAAGCATCTCAGGATAGCCCACCACTGGGGAGCGGAGCCTTCAGGAAGGAAGCAGCCCACAGCCTTGGACGCCGTGGTCCTCGGGAGAGAGGTGGGTGCCCGCCAGCTCCTCCTGCCACCCGCCTCTCGGGGCTCCTGCTGCAGAGGCCATCCTTGCCTGTGCTCTGCCGGCAGTGCTGTCTGTGTGCCCTGGGAGCTTCGGTGGGACGAGGGCTGCAGCAAAGGCCGTGCCTGGAAGTGGGTCCTGCTCCACCCTTTCTCCCTCTTCCCCTACCTTCTTCCTCTGCCCACTTCCTCTTCTCCTGCTCCTTCACCTTGACACACTGTTGGTGGGGGCGGCCCATCCGAGTCCTCGCTCCAGCTAACAGCGTCTTGTGTTGGAAACTCACACGTTGAAGGCAGCTCATGTCTGCTTTAATACAGGTCCTTGACCGCCTGCTGAGGGGTATCTGTGCACAGCCCTGCCTGCCCCATGCCGAGCAGTGGGTCCTCTCTGGGTTGGGGGGGGGCACATGTCCCTCACTGCTGCATTCAGAGCCACGCAGCTGCTCCAGGCCATGGCTGTCCCATCCTGGTCCTGGTCAGGCCCTTGGCCCCGAGGGACTGATCCCCAGCTCCATGGCTGGGTTTGAGCCATAGCTCTGAGCTGTGGAGAGGGCCCCAGGCCCTGATTCTGCTGCTTGGCAGAGCCCACCAGCAGGGCCCACTTCTTCCTACCTAAGGCCAGAGGAAAAGGCTGTGAAGGACAGGCTGCCCAGCCTCCCTGACTATGTACCCCAGACTGTTGGTAACTGGGGTAACTGTAGTGGGGCACCCTGTTGCTCCCCCACACGTCTCCCGCCCACCTGGGCGCTGCGTTGCTCCCCCACACATCTCCCGCCCACCCGAGCGCCCTGTCGCTCCCCCACGCCTCTCCCGCCCACCCGGGCGCCCTG